AGCCCACTCCTCTGCCTACCGGTCACTCGCTCTCAGCTCTGCCTTCGGATGAGTCCGTAGAGCCGAGTGGCCCGTATCCAGAGCTTGTGGGCTGCCTCATGTACCTGATGACCTGCACTCGACCTGACCTTGCATACCCTCTTAGCATCCTTGCACGCTATGTCGCTCCTGGTCGTCACCGGAAGGAGCACATGGATGCCGCTAAGAGGGTGTTGCGTTACTTGTGCAGTACGTCGGGCATGGGGCTAGTGCTTGGAGGACGAGACCGAGTTGTACTCACTGGGCACTCAGACGCTTCTTGGGCTGACGACCAGGCTACTCAGCGGTCGTCTCAGGGTTACACCTTCAGCCTTGGCTCTGGTTCTGTTTCTTGGCGTTCTACACGCTCGTCTTCCGTTCTCAGCTCCAGTTGTGAGGCTGAGATCTACGCCACAGCCATGGCTGCACAGGAGTTACGCTGGCTCACCTACCTGCTGACCGACTTGGGAGAGCGGCCTCGTTCTCCTCCAGTGCTGTACGTCGACAACAAGGCTACCATTGCCTTGTGTGAGGAGCACAGATTGGAGCACAGAATGAAGCATATCGCTCTACGGTACTTCCTTGCTCGAGAGTTGCAGCAGCGTGGTCAGCTTCGTCTGCGTTACGTGGCCACTCGGGCCAACACTGCTGATGTGTTCACCAAGGCGCTTCAGCCTTGTGACCATCAGCGCTTCTGTACTGTTCTAGGCCTTGTGCCTACTGTGCCTCACTTGCTTACTTCTTGACTCTGTTTGTACTGTGATCTCTATATATATACCTGCATACTTACACTTGCTAGGTTGTGCTCACTGTACCCCTTGCTATATATTTAAACTGCATGTGAACTGGTCTTGTGACCACTTGCTTGTGCTCGGAATTTGTGTGGTTTCCTCAAGATCCACCCTGAGCTTGCTTTGCCCTTCCTGACTGGTCTTGTGACCACTACTTGCTCTGGCTATCCCCCATTTCGCCTATGGGGGTGTGTCAAAACATATGCATAATTGTATCTAGGCTATATTGGGGCTAGCCTTAGGGGGTACACAAATAGTCTCGACACTCTAGTCTTGCACCCCAATCTTCACCTAATCATCACCTTTTCTCGTTCCCTAGCTAGTGATTCTAACATGTGCGACTCGACGTGACACATGGCGTGTGGGACAAGTTTGATTACAATGGATTTAGCTTGGGCGACACGTTTGGTTGCAGTTACATGTGTGCATTGGGTAGAGTATAAATCAGTTGTACTAGTCAGTTGAAAACAACACTTGGAAAATCTCTCGCTTGGTGGAAACCAATGTTCAATTCTGATTGGTGGCGTTTTTTTGGCACATTTCTGATTTCCTAGTGAATTGCTAGTCAAGGACCAGTGAAGCCCTAGAAAAGGCCTCGCGAGGCACTAGTGAAGCGCAAACCTTGCTGGACAAGTCAAACCGTTAGGGGGTGACTGGAGACAACAGTAGGATGGAGCGGATGCTGACGGATTTCCATGTCAAGGATGTGTTTTGAGAGCTGAATCCGGATGAGAGACGGTTCACTTTTTATTGCAAGTCGGCGAAGGTCAGCTCGCGGATTGACAGGGTGTTGGTGTCGCAGTCCCTGATGCATTTGGTGGCGAGAGCGACTCACCAGTGGGTGCGGAAGGGGATCATGGACCACAAATTCGCGGTTAGGTTGCGGCTGGCGTGGAGGGGCCCGCAGGAGACAGGGCCAGGGATCTGGCGGTTTCCGGCGAGGCTGGCTAAGCGGCCTGGTGTGGAGACGACGATTGCGGATGTGGTCCGGAAGCACTGTGAAGGGGGGAGCGGGGACTTCGACAGACTGTCAAGAAGCCTGGTAGCTCGCCTGCGGAAGTATGACAAAGAAGAGAAGCGGAGGGTGAAGCATACTAGAAGGACTTTGGAAGAACAAGTGGGGAGTCTACAGCATAGGGTGATGGCTGATCCGAGCGATGACGCGCTGCAGGCGCTGCTGACAAGTCGGGAAGCGATGCTGCAGAGGTACTGGGATGGCCGGAGAAATTTCCCGCATACACGGACGGGGCTCAAGGTGCAGTTAGAAGGGGAAACGCCAACTGGTTTTCTGACGGCGCTGATTTAAGAGTCGGAAAGCCAAGTCGGGGATCAAGGAACTTGTGCGGAACGGGGTCAGCCACACGGATGCACGAGCGGTCCTGGAAGCAGCTACCTGTCACTTCAAGGAAGCGTTTGACGAGGCCCCCATGGGTGGTGGTGCTGAGCCGGTGCTGGAGTGGACGCCGAGGAAGGTGCTGGAAGAAGCATCAGCGGAGGGCCTGACGAGGGAATGGACAGAGAGCGAGGTTAAGCCGCCGATCAGGGGACTGGCCAACGATAAGTCGCCTGGTCGAGATGGGCTACCCAAGGAGTTATTCCAAAGTCACTGGGAGTTGCTGCGGGAGCCGGTGATGAAGATGATCAGGGATTTTGTCGCGACAGGAAAGATGCCGGAAGTCGCGAATGAGGCGGTTACTATCCTGCTTTACAAAAAGGGGGCAGAGATGGATATCAGGAATTATCGGCCAATCACGCTGTTGTCGGGTGTGTACAAGATTCTGGCGAAGGTGGTGGCGACACGGATGAAAGCGGTGGTGTCAGGTCTGATGTACGCACCACAGCGTACTCCTGCAGCATCTCACTAAGCGGAACGGCACTTCAGGCTCTGGAGTGGCGATCTGATGTACGCGCCGAGGGAGCAAGGAGGGCTGGGAGTGATTGACCCACGAGGATGCATTGACAGCGTGGCTCTGAGGTGTGTGGGCCTGGCATTGCGGCAGGAGTGTCCACTCAGGCGGGGATTGACGGAGCATGCGGCAGGCCTGCCTCTGGGCTGGGCAACGTTGTATGCGCATAAAGCGGTGCTGAGAAGGGGGGTGTTCAAAAGCAGGAGGTGGGCAAGGTTGTGCAAGGCGGTTTTGAAATCCACGGCGGTGGAGGTGCCGGATGCTGCATCACGATGGGAAGTGGCAGAGGAATTGCTGTGCTACAACAGAAACATCATTCACCGGGGGAAGGCCCCATTTGGCTGTCAGAACGGAACGGAGAAGCTGTGGGGATGGAAGTTGCGCGACATGGTGCTGAGGAGTGGGATGGTACTGTGGCGTTGAAATCGGAGGAGATGCTCACAAGGGAGCTGGAGGGCAAAAAAGAGGCGGAGATGGCACTTAAGGCGTTATACGCGGCGCCGGAGCAGTGGCGACAGTCGGTGCTGGCGCCTTTGACGGCAGAGGAGGTAGCGGCTGAATCGTCTATGGTGTGTACTAAGCTTCCGAGTGGGCATAGGTGCCTATGGGAGGTTAGTGGCAAGTTGGGAAGGAAGGTGGAGAGCGCACGGCATGGGATGTGAGGTTGGTGCTGTGGTGTGGTGGTGTGATACCAGTGAAGCTGTCCAAGACTCGGGCAGTAAGAGAAGCTGGGGACCTGAGAATGCGGTTACTAAGCTCGACACTGTTTAAGGAGGAGGTGGCCCCGCTGAGGAAGCTCAGAGAGCCGAGCAAGGGAGTGGAAGTTGTGGAGGTGAAAAGGACGAACTGGGAAGCCCGGGCGGGCAGAAAAATCAACTGGGAGCGGGGAAGAAGTGTCCGAGATTCCCTTGTGGTCCCGGCCAGAGCAAGAGATGTCCTGCTCCGAGTGCAAAATCTCAATCTCCAGGTGGGAGAGAGGGTTTCATTCCTGAAGGGCGGGGTGACGTGCCCGCATTGCGGTTTGGCAGAAACGCTGGAGCATTGCTTGCTCGAGTGTGCGAGCATCGCACCAGTGGTTGGGGCAGTCAAATCGGCGCTCAGCATGATGCAGCCGACGAGGCGGGTTGACAGCCTGGCAGACCTCGTGTTCGGTGCGGAGGGAACGAGGCCCGGTTTTCCGGAAGCAACTATGGTGGCAGTCACGATGCACCATATCTTGTTGGGAAGGTGTGACGTGTCTCTCTGTAAGGTGAAGAAGTTCCAGGCACGGAAGGTGATCTGGAGGATCAAAGTGGAATTCAACAAGCATGCAAGGATCTATTGTAGCAGACTGACCAGACAAGCGCGGAGGGATAAGGCGAGGTGGAATTTGGCGGAGGATGAGGCACGTGTCATGCGGCGGATCTGTGACAACGAGGCACTGGGACTGAGGTGGCAGGGGGGTTTCGAGTCCGTCTGGTCGAACCCGAGAACTTTCGTGAAACCACCATAGAGTTCGCAGGGAGGGCTAGGCGTTTTCGCCCAGCTTGAGCCCTGATGAATCAGTTACGACTGTATCGTTTTGCCTGTACATCTTCTTGTATAAGCTTTCACAAAAAAAAAAAAAAAAAAAAAAAAAAAAAACAACAACAACAACAACAACAAGAAAAAGAAAGAAAAAAAAAAAAAAAAAAAAAAAAAAAAAAAAAAAAAACGCCAACTCAGCAAAAGTGCAGCCTTGTGGAAGAAGCGACAAATCATATTTGGGCAAATGTTTCTTACCTTTCCGTTAGAAAAGGAGTCGTTACAAGGATTAACCAATGCACCATCTACACTGAAGTCAAATGGTCAAATAGTTTCTCATGGCTTGTCTAGCTAATGCATCAGCTCCACTAGTTCTGTAGATAGCAACCAAGTTATGGGTTGCTTCTCGTTTCAACCCAGCGTCACATTCCTGCCTTTCAGGACCACTAACCTCCCTGCTTCTCTGGCTTCTTAATCCCGGCTGCTCGGCGGTGGCATGGTGCCGGCGTGGAGTGGCGGGGGAGAGAACGTGCTTGTAGTGGTCGACAGCGAGGTGCAGCAGTCCCACGTGGTGGAACGCACGACCCAAGTTGAAATGCACTTCCTGAGATGTGTAACGGGGAACCAAACAGAAAATGCTGGCCATGGGAAGGAGATGACGAGGGAAGCAGAAGGGGGACCCACTTGGAAGCACAGTACACCAGTAAAGTATGTTGACTAACCTCCTCCTAAGCTGAACTCGCCTCAGGTCAGGTGCGCTCACCTGAGTGTCGCCTGCCAGCTAGGCGTACTGCTGCAGCAGCACCATGCCCTGCAGCACACACTGGCTGCGGTCGCGCGGGCATGAGCCCAGGGAGAGATTCAGCAGCGCCACTCCTGGTGACAGCAGGCAACACGGGAGCGAGAGAGACGATAGGGAGGAGGGCAGTGAGGGACAGTTCTCAGAGCTACACCCACAAACATACCACCACCAACTCCCCCAACCGCCCCACCCCTCCTCCCCCCTCCCTCAATCCTTCCCACACCACCACCCCAAGCCCCCACAAGCGCACCGCAGCAGAGGCAGATGAGGGGGTCGTGGGGCTGCATGAGGTGGGCACGTAGGTACTCGCAGCAGGCACCCTGCATGTTGCCGCGCAGCGCGTGGTGGTGGCCCGACACCAGCACTGCTGCCACACACTCCGGGTGCCGCATGCGCATCTGCTACAGGAACTTGGCCCGCCGGTCGTTGCTCTCCGTGCCCCTGGGGAGAGGAAAGGGGAGCAGTTTTTGGTGGAAGGAGGGAGGCGTGCTGGGTGCCTCGTGTGTGTACGCGTGGTCATGGTCGTGGAGCTTGGGATATGTACGGGTGTGTGTGTTGGTGCGTGTGGCAGTGTGTGTTTGCGTGTGGGTGTGACTGTGTGGTTGTGAGTGTGTGGGTGCGTATATGTGGTTGTGCGTATGTGGTTGTGAGTGTGTGGCTGTTTGTGTGGATGCGTGTGTGTGTGTGTAGTATGTGTGAGGGTGCGAGAGATGTGCATCTGATATATAGAGACAATGGCCCCTGCCCCCTGTCTCATATCATCTTATTCAATCCGTGAGAGTGGGCGCACACAAGATAGTGGTGCACATGTGCAAGGGAACACATAACGCACCTGAGGGTGAGGGAGTGGAAGAGCGACCAGCCGCGGATGCTGTGAGGCTGCTCGCTGATGATGGCCCTCGCCACCTCAAACTGCAGCATGCCACTCGCTTCCTCTGCACGCCCACGCATGCAAGCATAGTAAGATGGTTGTGGGGCGGATGGGAGGTGCTCAAGCAAGGGCGGATGGCAAGGGCATGGAACAAACAACGAAAAGGCAGCATGGTGAAGGAGAGGAAGTGAGCCAGCAAGGGGAAGAACCGGCTCAGCAGCAAGGGGACCGCCAGTAGCTGACTGTAGCTGCTTGCACATGGGCTTGGGAAGATTATGGGAAAGAGCTGTCTCGACGAGGCGCTCAGCTTCCATGGGGCGGCCCTCGTGCAGCAGACCCTGCACCACCTGTGGGGGGTGTGATGGCCAGAAGGTGGGGGGGAAGGGGTCCAGGGAAAGGCGAGCTCGTTGTGAGCAGCAATGATGCAACAGATATGGACCCTGTGGAATATTTAAGGGAGTGGAGTCCTGTGGGCAGATGGCAGAGTCGGTTTCATCGGAAGAGGCAGGAGAGGGTGGGTGCATGGGAGGAGGCAGGGCAATGTGGGGCAGGAGGGGCAAGGGGCTTTAGGGGCGGGGGGGGGAGGGAAGCAAGGATTGTGGCAAGAGGGGAAGAACAGCGACATGAAAGACATAGAGAGGGGAACAGAGGACGGCACACCTTGAGCAGCAGGCCAAACTGCTGGTCGTCTGAGAAGATTCCAGGAAGCGGCACCACGTGCAGCGTGGGCTCGTCCACGTTCTTCAGCCCCAAGTTGCTTAGCTGGACGCAGCGCGTGAAGGGGAGGGGAGTGGGGGACGGGTTCAGAGAGGAGGGAGGAGGAGGGGAGGGAGGAGGGGGTTCAGAGAGGCGGGGAGGTGGAGTGGTGAGTGGGAGGTTGTCCTTGAGTGCTAACTCCAGTCGCACAACTGAATCACAATTCACTACTTGACTTCACAGCACACAACTCCCATCATCTGCTGCTTGCCCCATTGCTTTTCCCCAATTCCCCTCCCTCCTTTCCCCCTCCCCCTCCCATACTCACATTTCCCCCCCTCCCCCCCCCCCCTTCCCCTCTGTCTTCCCTTCTCTTTCTCCCCCATTCTGCTCCCGCTCCCCCCACCACTAGCTGCAGCCAATCAACCACCACCAGCCTTCCCCGCCCCCTCTCCTCCCGCTCCCCCCTCCCCCTCCCCCGCGCCCCTCCGCTCCCCCAGCGACGCCTGCCTCTCCGCCTTCTCTGCTGCCAGCCACTCCAGGCGCCGCCGATTCGCCAGCTCGCAGCTGGTGGGGGAAGGGTGGAGGGGATGGGAGGAAAGAGGGGGAGGGGTGATGGGGTGTGTGTAGGAGGAGAAGAGGTGATCAGGTGCTGGGGGGAGGGTGATGGTATGGTGAGAGGATAGAACGGCAGATGAGAGGTGGTGACAAACTTAAGGCACGTGAGGGGAGGGGTCCATCCCACCATCCGTCCTCTGCCCTCTCACAACCCCGTCCATGCAAGCATTGCATCACTGCCGGCTGCCTCACCCTACCCTACTGCCCCATGAAGCCCTCTTTCATCCCTTCACTCTCCCCATAACACAGCAGAGCAGTGCAGCCCAGCTCAGACGATGCCGCGCGGCAGGCGCAGCTTGAGCCTGCAGTAGAGCCCCTCCTTGCTATCCCTCGCCTGGTCGCCCAGCAGCGGCTTCAGCTGCCTCATCCACCCCCTCCACCACGGGTGCTCCGCCCGGAAGGCCGACAGAATCTGATGTGCAGGCATCTCTCGTTCAATAACATGCTCTGCTGATACTAGGAGTGAAGCACCCATATGGCCACCCACCATGCATTCACTTGTGCTACCCATGCGAGTGCTGCTCCTTCCAGGCGAAGCTGCTCCCTGTGCATCGCCTCTCCTGCCCACTCACCCATTTCCCCACGTCTCACTCACCTCCACTCCTCCCATCCTCCACTCCACCCCTGACAAGCATCACCCACATCCATACACCCCTGCCACCTCACGCCCCTGCCACCTCACGCCCCTGCCAGCTCACGCCCCTGTTAGCTCACGCCCCTGCCAACTCACCGTCCATGCCCAACCCACCGGCTCGTTCTTGTCGATCGCCCACATCGACTGGGACACCATGGGCAGCGCAACTTCCAGGAACTTGCTGGCATTGTCGGCCTTGTCCAGTCGCTCCTCCACCAGCTTCCACCACACCGCCCCGCCCCTCTTTCTCATCGCCCCCTCGCCCACCCCACCCACTGCGCTACCCGCAGCTGCAGCAGAGGCAGAGGCAGCTGAAGCACCCCCCTGCGACCCTCCCTATGCTGCCTCTGCCCCGCCCTACTGTCCCTCGCTCCCCTCCTGCTCGCCCCCCCTCGGCCCCTCCAGCACGGCCACCACCTCTGGCAAGCGACCAGTGAGGGCAAGCGCAGAGGAGAGGTGCATGTGGGGTTGGGATAGCCATGGCAGACATGCCACCACTAGAAGGAGGGCGGAGGAGAGAGCATGTTTTGGGGAGGGAAGAGGGGAGAGCGAAGAAAGGAAAGGTGAGGGAGGTGAGAAGTGGCGAGGAGAGGTGCGGAAAGGTGGCAGGCTGAGGCGAGGAGGTGATTGGTGGTGGAGGAGAAACATAGCCAGCGAGGGAGAGGAGCCGCAGGCGCATGGTGCATGGACTGGACGGGAGAAAGTGGTGTGAGCGACAAGAGGAGAGGGGGCGGAAGGAGGCAGTGAAGGAAATGTGAGTGTCGAAAAGGGAAGAGAGTGTTGAGGAGGAGAAAGGGAGGGGGGAAAGCAGAGGGCCAGGTAGGGGTGCCTTGTGCGGGCACCCACAGAGGGGAAAGACATGCACACTCCAACCCTCTCTCCCAAGCCTCCACCGCCCACACGAACACTGAAAGAAAAACAAGCACGCTTCCGCCTCCTCAAACACGAACCCCACCCTTCGCTTCCCAGCCTCCACTGCCAACACGACACATGCACCTCTATCAAGAATTGGCACGGCTTCATCCACTCGCCCAGCAGCAGCACGCGCTGCGCCCACCTTCACCCAGACCGCCGTCCACCCCTCCAATTGTTGCCATAACGCCTCTGCCCCTCCCCCTTGCATCTCTGACCCTGTCCCTTCCCCACCACCCTCTGAAGAAGGAGCACCCCCAGGATCCCCAGCAGCAGCATTTGCAACGACGGCAGCAGCGGCAGCGAGTGTCACGTCATCTTAGTGGCAGCATAGTGGGCGGTAGAAGCGGACGGCATCTGCCACCCAGCCGACAGCCATGAAGGCGTTGCCTGCCTCCGAGAAGAGGTCTGTACAGTCCCCTGCACTCTCCTGATCCAATGCTTGCAAGTATGGCTGCAGTAGTAAGCGAGGGAAAGGGGAGAAAGGGGTGTTGGTTGGTTGCAGGGAAGAGAAAGGTGTTAAAAAATCGTCACCCAGCAGTGTTGGGTGAAGGTAAAATAAACGCCCTAATTGTTGTGAGCTAATTTGCACACGTGAAGAGATTGAGTAAAACACTCTACTCGCAAGTTCCACGTGGTTAGCACAGCAACTCCCAACAATCCAAGCTCGTTCGGACACTGTTGCGCCTCACTTGAGCGTCTGTGAGTGCCCCAGGTGCATAAGCCACGTGCCCGCCTTGCCCCCCAGGTCTACTGGCAGGGCAGAGGACACAGAGGTGCACACAGCAGTGCACACAACAGTGCACATAGCAGAGCACACAGCAAAGCACATATCAGAGCACACAGCAATGCACACAGTAGTGCATACAGCAGTGCTCACAATAGTGCACACAGCAATGCACACAGTAGAGCACACAGCTGTGCACACAGCAGTGCATACAACAGAGCACATAGCAGAGCACACAGCAGAGGACATAGAGGTGCACACAGTAGTGCACACAGCAGTGCACAGAGCAGAGCAAACAGCAGAGCACACTGCAGAGCACACATCAGTGCACACAGTAGTGCACACAGCAGTGCACACAGCAGAGCACATAGCATAGCACACAACAGAGCACATAGCAGAGCACACAGCGGAGCACACCGCAGAGCACACAGCGGAGCACACAGCAGTGCACACAGCAGTGCACACAGCAGTGCACACAGCAGTGCACACAGCAGAGCACACAGCAGAGCACACAGTACAGCACATAGCACAGCACAGAACAGAGGACACAGAGGTGCACATAGTAATGCACACAGCAGTGCACACAGCAGAGCACACAGCAGAGCACACATAAGAGCACACAGCAAAGCACACAGCAACTATGTTGCAAAAGACGCTCGTCCCGACGCAGGACGCAGGACGTTTAGCGGATTTTTATTTCCGGCTGCACGGGAAAAAAAAGAAGCCCGCGAAATCGCCCATTCGCGATTTCGACGCTAATGTTAGATCCGCGAATTCGTAACTCCATGGGAGCGATGTCGCCAAGCAAAATCGCAAACGAATGGGAGCCTTTTTGCTAATTTTGCAAAGCAAAATCGCTAGCGAATCATTTTTCCCCCAACCACCTCACATTACCGCACTGCATCCCCCAACCTTGTCGACCTGAACCCAATGTAAGAAGAGAATCAGGTCAACATTTAGAGCTTTCTCTCCTAGTCGACCTGATTCTCTTTCGAAACCCTAAATCTCGGTTTAACTAAATGTGTAAAAATCTGGTGTTTCGGGAATTTTTTTAGAATAATCCATGTTCAATATGGTTGCAATGTCCCGAAACCCCCTCTCCCCCCTTCCTAGACATTTTGTTTTGCCTGCCCTAACGTTTTTTTTACCATGCCCGGCCCTGCGTCTTTTTAGCGTCTCCGGGACCCCTTCAACTGCGTCCTGCGTATAAGACATTGCGTCTGGACGCAACGCGCCAACCCGCTGACCCCGCTCGTCACCCGCCAGCCGGGTGACGAGGCGCTACGGGTGACAAGGCGCTACGGGCTAGGTCGGGGTACGGGGCGGTGGGCCCATAGGATCTTATCGCTCTATACCATGTTAAAGTACTAACTGCTGAATGAAATGACTAGAAATGAAACATGGACAAGGATATATGATGTTAACCCTAACCTAACCCTAGGTCAAGAATGTACACCTAGGCTAACAAATATAAGCTATAACAAATATAGCTTGACAGGGTGGAGCAAGAGCCAGGTCGACGAAGCCATCTACTTCAATTTCGATGCCGACGGAGTGGCGTGCTAGGTTCTCATCTACTTTTGACGACCTTCTTGCCACCAGCAGCAGCGTCAAGATGCTGAAGGAGTTGTGCGAGCTGCTGGAGGGTGCCTTTGAGCTGCGCGAGATCAGTCTTTTGGAAAAGTACTTGGGGCTCGAGATCGTGCAAGTCCGACCTGCACGGAAGCTGCGGCTCCATCGGCATTCATAAGTCAACAAGCTACGCAAACGCTTCATCGACGAGGAGCAGCCAGGTCGGCGTACGAAGACGCGGGTCTCTGTCGACGCCTACGCCGAGCTGACAATCGACGACGAAGACTTCCAGGCGCATGACTAAGTAGAGTACCGGCAGAAGTGTCAGAATGTTATAATTGTCTAGCCTGCAGTGGGGTACTCCATAGTGAGTACAGCCCAATTAGGGTTTGCTATATGTGTCCAACTGCTTGCTAGTGAACATCCTCCTTTCTTCATTCTTTCTTTCTACTACTACTTCTGACATGCTATCAGAGCAGGTCGATCCCCTTGGGTCGATCCTGTGGGTGGGCCCACCACCTCACTGCTTCCGCTGCTACTGCTACTCTGTGTGTTGCACGCCCCGTGGAGTGCGACGGATTTTTCATCCCGCCGCGCGCTCGGAGCGTGCGGCGGTTTTCTGCCCGCCGTGCGCCCCGAGGCGCGCGGCGGTTTTCTGCCCGCCGTGCGCCCCGAGGCGCGCGGCGGTTTTCTGCCCGCCGTGCGCCCCGAGGCGCGGCGGTTTTCTGCTCGCCGTGCGCCCCGAGGCGCGCGGCGACTTTCTGCCCCGTCACTCTGCGCGTCGCTCCCGGGAGGCGCTGCGACGGGCGACGGGGACCCGCGCGTCGCCCCCCGTCGCCCGTCGCGGCCTGCGCTGTCAGTAGATCTGCACTGTGGATGCCCGATTGATCCTGGAGGGGGTTACAGGCGCGTTTGCCTGGGGGGTTATGGGCGCACTGACCCGCTACTGAAACAAGCCCTTTTATCCCAATGGTCTAGTGGTTGGGATTCTGACATGGTATCAGAGGGGTCTCGGGTTCGATTCCCGGTGTATGCACATGTAGGCCGGTGCCGCTGTGCTTAGTCCTGGGCCTCCCAGTGTGGGGGGGTGTCAGTAGATCTGCACTGTGGATGCCCGATTGATCCTGGAGGGGGTTACAGGCGCGTTTGCCTGGGGGGTTATGGGCGCACTGACCCGCTACTGAAACAAGCCCTTTTATCCCAATGGTCTAGTGGTTGGGATTCTGACATGCGCGACCTGCGTAGGGCCCGCGCGCGGCCCGTACAGCCTGCGCGCGGCCCGTACGGGCTGCGCCAGGCCCGCGCGCGGCCTGTACGGGCTGCGCCAGGCCCGCGCGCGGCCCGTACGGGCAGCGCCAGGCCCGCGCGCGGCCCGTACGGGCTGCGCCAGGCCAGGGCGCGCCTCGGGCCGCCCGCACGCGGTTCGTACGGGCTGCGCCAGGCCCGTGGGCGCCCTGTTTCCTCTTCCCCTGCGCTGCCCGCTGTCCCCCGTGCTTCTGACGGCGCCCCACCCCTGCTGCTGCCCGTTCTCCTGAATTAGGGTTTGGGGTGGGGGGTATGGGGGTGCAGTTTCTGTGCGTCGTCCCCTGCTCCTCCTCCTCCTCCGTCTCCCAGTGCTGCAGCTGCCGCTGAGGGGGGTGGGTGTGTGGGAGCCGAAGGAGTGGTACTAGGGGGGTGACGTGCAAGTGGAGTTAGGAGTGAAGCAGTGGGTGTGTGGGGGGTGTGTGGGATAGTTGGAGGAGGTTGAGCGGAGGCTGCTGTCTTGTCGTCCGCAGCACCTGTAGTCCGGGGCGCACTGTCCTGGTAGCCCAGAGAGTCTGCTGCGCCTGTCGCCCGAGGGTCCGTTGCTCCTGTAGCTCGTCGTAGCCCGTGAGCCAGTTACTCCAGTAGTCCGGGGCGCACTGTCCCGGTAGCCACTGTGCCAGCAGCTCCTGTTGCCCGTGTCTCTGCAGCTTCAGCCGCCGTCTCTCATCTTCTCTCCTCTCACAGTCCCTCCTCCTCCTCACTTGCCCGCTGTGATTACCTCTAGCTTTGCTTATAATTGTGAACTATTACTATGCTTGCTTGTTGTGCTGATTACACCCCACTTTGGCTATGGGGGTGTGTCAGAATGTTATAATTGTCTAGCCTGCAGTGGGGTACTCCATAGTGAGTACAACCCAATTAGGGTTTGCTATATATGTCCAACTGCTTGCTAGTGAACATCCTCCTTTCTTCATTCTTTCTTTCTACTACTACTTCTGACAAGAAGGTCGGCTCGCTGCAGTTCGCCGCCACCACAAGTCGGTCGGACATCACCTTTGTGAGAAGAAAGTTGGGATCTGGCTTGATGGTGTGGAGTGACCAGCATTGGCAAGAGGTCGACCGCTGCCTCGCCTACTTGGCTGACACGCGCGACGTCGCCCTCGAGTTCGGTGACTCTGTGTTTGGTCGGCTACACGGATGCCAACGACGACGGCGACAAGCAGATGCACAGCACCACAAAAGGCTACGTTTTTTTACTTCGACGGCGCAGCTATCTCCTGGACGAGCCAGCGCATCAAGCGCAGAGTCGGAGTACATCGCCGTGACTGAAGCTGGGAAGGAGTCACGCTGACTTCGTTTCCTCCTACCCGAGTTCCAGCTCCTCGACACTGGAACGCCGATCGTCCTCGTTGTGGACAACCAGTCGGCCATCGCAGTCGCTGAAGGGTTTGGGCTGAAAGGGCAACCTCAAGCACATGGAGCGACGCTACGTCTGGCTGCAGCAAATGATGAAGCGCAAGAAGATTGCGCTCCAGATTTCCTAAACTTTGGCAGATTTCCTCACAAAGGCACTGCACTTCCTGGTTTTCAACCGGTTTTCCCTCGCAATAGGTCAATTTCACCTTGCCGATGTCGGCGACGATGACGTGCAGAAGTAGGCGCCATGTCCTTCAACATGGCAGGTGCAGTGAACAGCGTGCTGTGTGTGCACGCCACTGGAGTATCCCCGTTGTATTCTATTACGCAGGTTCTGGGTGGACCTTGCGTATGTGTGGGTGCTCAAGCTTGAGCTGGGGTAGGGGAGTGTTGAAAAGTAAGGCCGCGCCCGCGCGTGGGCGTCGCCGATCTCACCATCGACAAATCGAACTCGACAAAGTGTTCGTTGAATGGGCTCATGCTGGTCGTCGACGGTGGTTGTTGAAGGGTCCCTGTTTGATGAGATCCCGCCGACTTCGTCGGCGGACCTCGCTGGTCGACGAGAGTGGTCGTCAACGAGCCCGCCGACAAGCACTGGTCGATGAGATCGTCGACAAGTGCTAGTCAACGAGAGCTGTTTGACGAGCTTCGTCCCAGCGAACGCTGGTCGACAGAGCGTCGTCGGACCGGTCGACCAAACCTAAGCAACTGCGAAATCCTGAATGTGCGCGAATTTTCTATCAGGTGGTTTGGGCGAAAGCCGACCTGCGGAGCGATAGCACGTGCTCGACAATGTGCATCTGGCGCAACCATCGACATGTGTTCAACATGGCACCTGCACAATTTGCAACCATATGGAGAGCAGACCTGCACCTACATGGTAGGTGACGCACATACGCGCAAATGTCTATCTGCGCCTACGCACATATATATATATATATATCCCTCATGGAGCAACAACCATAAAAAATGCTATTAAAGATACTGGGATGTGTTAGTTGTTTCAAAATCTGTGATGAGAGCAGAATAAGTTGTATAATTGTTACGAGTGCAATTGAGTGAACGAGCGAGAATTGCACTATCGAAGCAAGAGTACAATGAGAGAAGGCATGAGCGAAGAATATATAGCGAAACTACAGTGGTAACGGTAATGTGTGAAAAGTGGGGTGCGCGACGGGCCTAGTTCCGAGGTTGGGAGATGTCGAGGCGAATAATCAGGTCACCTTGATGCACTCAGGGCATGTTGTGCGTTGCCGAACCCATCATGAAAGATTTTGAGGGACTCCAAATCTATCAAACGATGACTTTTAGTATGACTCTCTAAAGGCGCTCCGTGTTGTATTCTCAACATTCGGACCACTTCTCCCCTCCCATGTGTTCTGTCGCCCCGTTTGAACAGGAACCTGGGCTCATAGCTCTCCAATACAGCAAACTCATAAAGCCCTGAAGAAGTAGGTACACCGAAACTTTTATGCTGCTGGTCGGAGAAATATCTCCATGAATTAGTTGGTCCAGTTCACCGAAAACGTCCCACACTCCGTCGTCAGTGGAAGGAACGGGACCACTCTTTACTGGCTGAGGCGAGCCGAATCAACTTTCACAATCGCCTCACACGATACTCTACACCTCGTTTTCTTTAGAATAAACACAACTCTGCCTTATTGAGGGGTCTGAAGATCAGTTACGACCGAGGATGTCTTTGTATGCTATGTTCTTATAGTGTACTTATATCCACAAATACAAAAAGGTTCTGATGAGTGCACATGATTTTCGCCTGCCTCGCCAACTTCGCCACCGGAAAGATTGGGGCTGTCAGTTACGACTGTCCATGTATGATAACTTTTATTTAGTGTAATTACATCACGAATAAAGCAAAGGGACCGTAGTGGGCTGAAATAAAATAAAATAAAATAAAGGGACCGAAGAAATGTGTGTGCCATTTAAAAAAAATATGACGAAGCGACGGATGACAGGGCAAAAGCTGTGTGATCCAACGTTGCGATCAAACAATGGGACTTTATTCCGCGTGCAATTGCCCGTGCTAAATTGCACAAGGACGAGCAAAGTTAAAGAACGAGGCAAATTTGCGGGCAGGGGCTGAGCATCATGTGGACAGTACACGTCCACATCCACAGCAGCCCAATGCAGAGGTCCTCCAACAAGCCGTAGACCCCACGAACATCCAGGCTTTCCAGATGTTGCATGAGCTCATTGGAAAGAGTTTTGATGCATTTCTTGAGTGCTGTTTTCTTTTCAATCGTTGTTTCTGTAACCAGGTTGTTTGCTGTGGTATCACCAGATCCAGCGCCAACTCATAGAGTCTAGTGGTTCTAGAACTAGTACAAGCAGTCTCAGCGGCGAGTATAGCTTATGGTCGTCATGGCGACCCTGGGGCGGCGCCTCGTCGCGTTGGTCTTGCTCGCAGTAGTGTCCAGCCACCTTCATCGCGTGGCAGCTACTACCGTTACGATGAACGCGGCTGAAGGTGACTGCTTATTTATGTTGAGCCCGGCGGCGGTGAAGGGTCCTTCTTTTCCTTTTCCGAGTTCCCCCAGGGCGACTGTCCATAGGTTCGTTCACTTGAGAAGCGCTCCGCATTTGGAGCCGCCGTTTTGTGTAGTACAAGCACGCCGTCCGCCACCGGCGCCGTTCCATTGGGGAAAGTTGTTATGGGTTACCCCGAGGTATCCAGCACCGGGGGTGACTTCGGGCCCCTCGCACTTTCTGGGACCACATCATGCAAGTGATGTACTACTAGAACCCCATCTCCTGCTCCATGCCTTCGTGTTCCTTGCCATAAGCTCTGGGCCTCCAAAGGCCTCGGCTTTGGTTCACCATCCACTGCGCTATCGCCACTACTAAATCCAGGCAGACGACTCGAATACTGAAAAGCTCGCGAGGTTGAAAGACGACCGCTCCCTCCGAGGGGAAGTTGGAGCCGACCACGTGATGATCCGACTACATTGCTGGTATCGGAGTCTATGGTTTGTAAAAAAACCTATACGTACGATGTTTCCGCTGCCTTAGCGCAGCCAATGGGTGGATCATCATATCTACATAATGTAGATATGCAGTAGCTACGCTGTCGGGTCGCCAACATGTTTTGGGATGTCCCGTTCGCCTCAGTTACGGGAACGGGGCTATCGTGAGAGCCTTGAGTTCGAACCCCAGCTGGTCACATTTTTCGCCGCCCAACCAAGTGGCCGTAGCGAAAACGAATGACGGTAGCCCCACTGTCGAATCCACTGAACGATCCACCGCTAGCCTGGTCCACAGCGAAATCGCATGTTCCTCTCCAGCATATTCGTCCCTGGAGTAGCGACCCCTGAACAAACGAGAACGTTTGGGGTGTGGTAACGCCGGCGGTGGGCTTACGCCTCGGAAGGTTTGAAATGCAGCCTTCTCCTTTAAATTGAATAGCCTCTCCCCCTCACCCTTCTCCTATTAGCTCTCCGCATCCCCTCCCCTCACCACCACCACCCCCTTTCCCCCCCACCCCCTCCCCGCCCCCCCTTCTTCCCCACGCAACTTGGCTACGCGTGCGGCCACCAGCGACGGCCATGCTCAACATCAAGACGGCCCTGGGGCTCACCTTCACCACCTGGACCACCACTAATCCCTGCCAAGTGCAGGGCACCAGTGACCCTGGCGTGTGGGAGACCGTGTCCTGTAACAGTAACGGCGATGTAGTGCTGTTGTAAGTGGCACGTTGACCCGTTAGATATTTGATTACTGTATAAATATGATAATGTGCGACTTTTCCAGGCGGTACCTCCAGCAAGTGCGTCCTGTCATAAGCTCATGCGCATCCTGCTTGTCCCATGAGCTCATGCGCACCAACCTGCTTGTTCTGTTTCTCCTTGTTCTCCATGCTGACCTGCTTGTCCCATGTGGCAGATACCTCCGCGACCTCGGCATCACTCGTAAGAGCTTCCCTGCCGACGTCAGCAAGCTCACAGCCTTAACCAACTTGTGAGTAGTAGACATACGCAACCCTTGGCAGTTTTCGTATTTTATTTTTTTGTTGTTGCTGCAGCGTACCACTTGTGTGGAGACCTGGGCTGAGGCACAGTGTGTGTTGGTGCGACGTGCAGATTGTTCATGCAGATCATGGATGGCGACCTCGGCAAGTACCTCAGCGTCTTCAGCTCGATCACCACCTTGAAAGGCCTGTGAGTACCACCCACCACCGCCTCCTTGAAAGTGCCACCACTCTCTCTTTCGCCCTCTAAGTGTCAACCCTCTTGTTCAACCTGAAATTGAGTAGTATGTGGTGATACTCCTCCGTGTTTTTCTGTTTCTCCCTGTTCTCTGATCCGGTCCACGTGTGGCAGATCCCTGCAGTACAACTGGTTTACCGGCACTTTCCCAAGTGTCATCGCGAGCGTGCTCAGCCTGACAGAGCTGTGAGTGCAGCAGCTGACGAACCACGATGGCCAAAGCAGCATCTCTCCCCCACACGCCCTCTCACCGTCCCTCTTGCTTCCACTGTTCCCCTCTCCCTCACCTTGTCCTCACCTCCTCTTACCTTGCCCTCTCCTCCCTTAACTAATCGCCTTAGACCGCTGGTGGCAAAGACGTTCCCGTCTTCGTTTTCTTGCCAATGCCGGATCCTCTCATGCCAAACACGTGTGTGGTGCCTCGCCCCCACAGGAACCTGTTCGAGAACTGTATGTACGGCACGGTACCCTCCATGGTGACGTCCATCAGGAGCTGAGCCGCAACTACTTCACGGGCACCATGCCCACCGGCTCCTCCTGGTCCAACTGCGGCGCCAGCTACAACTGCCTCGCCAGCACCGCCAACTGCGGCACCTCCACGCAGAGAGGCTCCGGCTGCACCATCTGCGGGAACACTGACGGCTCGGCCTGTGCGGCGGGAAGTGTGTGCATGGCGGATACGGACGCAAAGATCTCTGGCTCCGTCAAACATACATACGGCACCGACGTGACGTTTAAGTGTGTCACAATCGCGAGTGTCTCCATCAACGCGGCGGATGGTGAGTGTGTCCTTCCTCATGCACCTTCTTTCTTAGCCCTTTATTGTTCTCTTTGTTGCCATTGCACTCCCTTGTTCGGGCTTTTTGCCACTCCACACCCCCCTGCACTCCCACGCGCCACCCCATGCAGCCGTTGCAATGCTGAACATCAAGAGCGTGTTGGGTGCGACCTACACCACGTGGGCTGCCGCATCACCATGCCGCGTGGAAAACTCCGCAACGGCCGTTGCGGGCGAGTGGACGGGCGTTTCCTGCACGCTTGCTGGCAAGGTGTCGGCCTTGTGAGTGCATGCTGGCAAGGTGTCGGTCAGTGTGTGTCGCATCCTCACGCTGCAAGCAGCATCGTGCATCCTCTGACCGCTGTGCCTCTTCAATTTTCCACCCGCCGTACATCGTCTCACAAATTCATTTGCCCACCCGACGTTCTCCGAAACTCTCTTCCACAAACGCATCAGGTCCTTCCCTACCGCACAACTGAAGGGCTCATTCCATGCTGACATCTCCACTCTCACGGCTCTTACCTTCCTGTGAGTTGCGTCTCCTTGGCAGGTGTTTCATTTGCTTCATAATCCCAATGCTTCTGCTTGCCCATAGGCTGCTTTCCCTTTCTTTCTCTTTCAGCATGCATGCTTGCAGTTGCATTAGATGCATGGAACTCCCTAGAGCTTCCTAGTGAAGCCATGATGCATATGGGTAAGGTTCAAGCACAGTGACATGACAACCGCCTGTTTCACCCTCTGCTCGCCCCTACCAGCAACCTGGTGAACAATCTCTTCAACTACCGCCTTGACTCCTTCTTCACCAACATGCGAGCCCTGCCACTGCTGGCCGACATGTGAGTGCGGGAGGGGCAAGGGGTGAGCGTGACACCATGGTCGTGGCGTCCTGTAGCTTTGCTCCCGATCCCGATCCGTCCGCCCCCTCTACTCATGCCCGCTCAAGCTTCTCTGTTTGTGGGGGCGCCTTAAACTTCATGTCTGCTCATCCTTGTCCCTTGCACATGCCACCACGTCATCCACTCATCAAATCGCTGCCCTCGTTGCTTCTGCTGCTGTCACAGCCGCCTGCACTACAACTACTTCTACGGGGAGGTCCCCTCCTTCCTTGTGGGCCTCCCGAAGCTCACTCTGCTGTAAGTTCCCCAGGGAGACTTTCCATAATGCTCCGTGCTGCTTTCACCTTCCATGCTTCCACATCTTCCTTCCTCACGCTTCCATCTGAGCTGCCCGAATGACTGTGCCCGCCCTGCTCTGATGACCGCGCGTGCCACTTTCCACCTTATGTGCCGCTTTCCACCTTACGTGCCGCTTTCCACCTTACGTGCCGCTTTCCACCTTGCATGCCGCTTTCCACCTTACGTGCCGCTTTCCACCTTGCATGCCGCTTTCCACCTTGCGTGCCGCTTTCCACCGTGCATGCCGCTTTCCACCTTGCGTGCCGCTTTCCACCATGCATGCCGCTTTCCACCTTGCGTGCCGCTTTCCACCATGCATGCCGCTTTCCACCATGCATGCCGCTTTCCACCATGCATGCCGCTTTCCACCATGCATGCCGCTTTCCACCATGCATGCTGCTTTCCACTATGCATGCCGCTTTCCACCATGCGTGCCGCTTCCATCTCCTGCCCACGCCACGCCACTATTGACTGTGCCCCGCCCTGCTCCCCCCTGTGGCCAGTGGCATGGTGGTCAACTACCTAGTGGGGTCGGTGCCGGCGCTGGCCACTCAGTTGCGCACCTTAGATGTGAGCTACAACTTCCTCACAGACGTCCCAGCAGTCACCTACACCTTCTGTGGCGGCACCTACAACTGCTTTAGCTCGCCCTTAAAGTGCCCCAACTCCGGCGGCGGAACCACTCAGAGGCCCTCGACGGACTGTACTTTCTGCGGCATCACCAACGGCGTGGGGTCTTTGTGCTGGGGGGCGGGCGGAGTGTGCACGGCGAACGCGGCTGCTAACGTGGCTGCTGGCACTGTCAACTCTCCGGCACCGCCCCTGCTGCCCTTGACCTGCGTGGGCGGGCCGCCACTGTTGTCTATTAACATTGCGAATGGTGAGTTCTTTCTCTCCTCGTGCCCCTCCTTTCCGCTGGCCCTGTAGTAGGCTGCTGTTAGTTGCCCTACCTTGTTATGAATGCGTGCCACACACTCCTGTGCACTCCCATGCGCCACCCGATGCAGCCGCGGCAATGCAGAACATCAAGAATGCGCTGGGTACCACCTTCACCACGTGGACCTCCACGGCACCGTGCCGCCTGGAAAACTCGACGGTGGGCTTTTCGGGCGAGTGGACGGGCGTCTTCTGCAACTCTGCCGGCAAGGTGTCGGCCATGTGAGTGCATGCTGGCAAGGTGCCGGCCATGTGAGTGCATGCTGGCAAGATGCTGGTCGGTGTGTTTCGTTATCATCCCGCCGCTGCAAGCAGCATGCGTGCATCCTCTGACCGCTGGGCAGCTTCAATGTTCTCACCTACATGTCCGCTGGACTGGACGTTGCGATTTTTTCTCTAAACACATTCTCCCACCTATCAGAACTATCAATGGCGCACAACTGAAGGGCTCACTCCCTGCTGACATCTCCACTCTCACGGCTCTCACCTTCCTGTGCGTTGCGCCTTCTTCGGCAGTAACATTTCATCATCCCAATGCTTCTGCTTGCCTATAGTCTGCTTCACCTTTCCTTAACTTTCAACATGCATGCGTGCATTAGGGGCCCTCAACTCCTTGGTGCTGCCCAGTGGAGCCATGATGCATGCGCCATGATGCATGCGCCATGATGCATGCGACATGATGCATGCGCCATGATGCATGCGCCATGATGCATGTAGCACAATGGATGACAGCTGTCTGCTTCACCCTCTCTCCTCGCCCTTACCAGTGACTTGGAATCCAATCTCTTCAGCTACCGCCTTGATTCCTTCCTCACTAACTTGAGAAGCCTGCCACTGCTGGCCGACATGTAAGCCGGAGTGCAAGAGTGTGCGAGTGCTGGCGGACATGTGAGTGCGAGAGGGTTGTGGGCAAGGGGTGAGAGCGTGAGACCATGGTTGTGGCGCCCTGTCTTTAGTCAGCATTGCCCCTGACTCCCGGTCTTTCCACTGCCATCTCTGTTAATGCCAGTTCAAATACCATGTCGATACATCCTTGCCCCTTGCACATGCCACCACATCATGCACTCATCTCATCGCTGCCCTTGTTGCCTGTGCTGCTGTCACAGCCGCCTGCACTTCAACTACTTGTACGGGGAGGTTCCCTCCTTCCTTGTGGGCCTCCCAAAGCTCACTCTGCTGTAAGTTCCCCAGGGAGACTTTCTGTAACACCTTGTGATGCTTTCACCTTCCATGCTCCCGCATTCTGATTCCTCGCACTTCCATCCGAACTGATGACCGTGCCCGCCCTGCTCTGCCTCTAATGCCGTGCATGCCGCTTCTATCTCCTGCCCACGTCACTGTTGACCGTGCGCCGCCCTGCTCCCCCCTGTGACCAGCGGCATGGTGGGCAACTACCTGATGGGGTCGGTGCCGGCGCTGGCCAGCCAACTGCGTGTATTGGATGTGAGCTACAACTTCCTCACGGACGTCCCAGCAGTCACCTACACCTTCTGTGGCGCCAGCAACAACTGCATGCTCACTCCGTCCAAGTGCACCAACGGTGGAACCACCCAGAGGGCCGCAGGGGACTGTGCCTTCTGCTTCACCAGCAACGGCGTGGGGCCCTTCTGCACGCCAGGGAACGGAGTGTGCTCGCCCAACGCGGCTGCTGCCGTGGCTGCCGGCACTGTCAACGCGGCTCCTTGGCTTCCTGTATCTTGCCTGGGCGCCACAGCAGTGCCCCTCACCGCCTCAAACGGTGAGTGATTCCCTCCCTCCCTCCCTCCCTCCCTCCCTCCCCCCCTCCCTCCCTCCCTCCCTCCCTCCCTCCCTCCCTCCCTCCCTCCCTCCCTCCCTCCCTCCCTCCCTCCCTCCCTCCCTCCCTTCCTCCCGTCCTCCCTTCCTCCCTTCCTGCCGTCCTTCCTTCCTCCCATCATTTCCTCCCGTCCTTCATTCCTGTCGTCCTCCCTTCCCTTCCTCCCCTCCTTCCTTCCTCCCGTCCTTCTTTCCCCCCGTCTTTCTCTCCTCCCGTCCTTCCTTAATCCACTCCTTCTTTCCTCCACTCTTCTTTCCTCCCCTCTTCTTTCCTCCCCTCCTTCCTTCTTCCCGTCCTTTTTTATTCCCATCCTTATTCCCGTCCTTATTTCCGTGGCAAGGTGCCGCAGCCCGCACTGCACACCCTGCAAGCAGGCGGGTCCGTTTCACACCCTCTCCCCCCTTTTCCATACCACCATCCCGCCATGCCTGCTGTGCGCCCATCAGCGGCGGCCATGCTGAGCGTCAAGTCGGCCCTGGGACTCACCTTCACCACCTGGGCCACCACTAACGCCTGCCAGCTCGCTGGCGCCGCCGCCACTCCTGGCGTGTGGGACACGCTGTCCTGCAACAGCAACGGCAATGTCGTGCAGATGTAAGCCCCGTGTCCACACACCACCCCGCTTGTGCCACTTTTTAGGCAGTTTCTCCCGCAAGTGCCTCCTGCCATGAGCTCATGAGCGCACTGACCTGCTTGTTCCATGTGGCAGATACCTCCGGGACCTCGGCATCACTCGTAAGAGCTTCCCTTCTGACGTCAGCAAGCTCACAGCCTTAAACAACTTGTGAGTAGTAGGCACATGCACACGCAACCCTTGGCATTTATTTTATTTGTTTTTGTTGTTGCTGCATGTAGCACTTGTGTGGAGACCCGGGCTGAGGAACAGCGTGTGTTGGTGCCGTGACGTGCAGAGTGTTCATGCAGGTCATGGATGGCGACCTCGGCAAGTACCTCAGCGTCTTCAGCTCGATCACCGCCTTGAAGTCCCTGTGAGTACCAATCACCACCGCCTCCTCGGATGTGTGTGCCAGCACTCCACTTTCGCCCTCATACTGTCAACCCTCTTGCTAAAATCAAACTGTATCTGCTCATGCACCCGCATGCTCTTCTGTTTCTCCTTGTCCTCTGATCCGATCCACGTGTGGCAGATCCCTGCAGTACAACTGGTTTACCGGCACTTTCCCAAGTGTCATTGCGAGCGTGCTCAGCCTGACAGAGCTGTGAGTGCAGCAGCTGACGAACCACCTTTACCAATGCACATCTCTCTCCCACATTCCCTCTCACCACCCTTCTCTCGCTTCCGCTGTTTCCCTCTCCTCCCTTATGTTCCCTTCTTTTCCCTTACTTTCCCCTCTCCTCCCTTACTTTCCCCTCTCCTCCCTTACCTCGCCGCCTTAGACCGCTGGTAGCAAGGACGTTCCCGTCAGTTGTTTCTTCAGTGGATGCCCTATGACACACATGCGCACCTCAAACGTGCCTCGCATCCTCCCTCTCCTTACCCCCACTGCTCACCTTCTCTCTGCCTTTGTTGCTTTGCTGCTCATTCTTGGTCTCTCGTAGTAAACCTCTACACGTGTGTGGTGCCCGGCCCGCACAGGAACCTGTTTGAGAACTGTATGTACGGCACGGTACCCTCCATGGTGACTTCAATCAAGTCGCTGGAGTTGAGCCGCAACTACTTCACGGGCACCATGCCCACCGGCTCCTCCTGGTCCAACTGCGGCGCCTCCCTCAACTGCTTCACCAGCACCGGCAACTGCGGCGGCACGCAGAGAGGCTCCGGCTGCACCATCTGCTCCAACACCGATGGCTCGGGCTGTGGGTCAGCGGGCACATGTGTGGCGGATACGGACGCACAGATCTCTGGCTCTGTCAAACATGCATACGGCGTCGATGTGGCGTTTAAGTGCAACTACATCCCGAGTGTCCC